CTTTATTACCTCTAGTTCCTTAACGTTCTGTTTATATAAAGGGCTGTAACTGTTAGAAAGAGGTTCTATAAGGACAATCTTATAGTTATATAAGTAATGTGCTAGTAATTAGTAAGCTATAGTGTAGCTAAATACATTTTAGTACTAATAGTATTTAGATAGTAATTAAAAGTTTACTAATACTTTAATTTTACATCTATTATTTAACAGTAGAGCTTACTTGTTTTTAATTAAACACTTAATTTTATAAATAAAAGTTAAAAAGAACTTATTTTTTTATATTAAAATAGAAAGCATTTGCTAAAATAAGAGTAATAGTAAAAAAATAAATGTCCTTTAGACCTGTTCTAGACTTCTTAACAGATAGGCAAATTAATAATTTAAGTGTTTTTAGACTATAGGTAATAGAAGAGCAGTATAATTTTAGTAGCCTTAGTAAACCCTTAATATAGTTAATTATTAGGCTGTATAACTGCTAAATGTAGTTTTTTTCTTATAGTGTGTTATATTATCTAATATCTAACTCTACTTCTTTGTTGCGCGCGGGCTAGTTTAGTTGCATAAGTAAAAGTAGTAAAAGTTTATAAGTAGTAGAATACTTATTAGGCTATATAATCTAATTTTTTTTTATATCTAGTTAGAGTTTAAAACAACATAGCTATTTAATGCTAATAATATAATTTTGTAAGCTAAGGTTTATAATTATAAAAAGGTAGTTCTAGATACTTCTACTATTAATTTGCATATACAGGCAGATATACTAGTAGACTAAAACTTAGATTTAGTCTTAAAAACCCTTAACTATAACTTTAAAAGGTAAACATTAGATAAAGACATAAAGGCATTAGAATAAAGACTTAGTAGTTATTAAGTTAATAAATAAAAAACTATATGCGCTAGTATTAACTAAGAAATTTAATTAAACTTTAATGCCTTTTAAGCATAAAACAGTAAGGACTTAAAAATGTTTTTCTTTAAATAAGTGTAATAAGTTAATATTTACTAAGTTATACTTATTTAAGCCTAAAATAAAAAGTTTTCTTAAGCATTTTTATTTCCTATCTAAAAAAGGTCTAGCTTATAATTATTTATATTTATAAACTTTTTTTTAAATTTCTGTTGCTCTACCTTAATTTTTTATACTTTAGAGATAGAATAATTGCTAGTAAAATGTTCTAGTTTACTATAATTATAACAGTTACTAGAAGTTGTCTGTCTTTTAGAGGCAGGTGTCTAGCTAGGTTGTTAGTAGGTAGCTAGGGTGGATTAGAGTACTAACATAGGTGCAGGTTAGAGTGCACTTAAATAGTATACTGCCTTAGATGTATTACTAGAAACCTTTTAAGACTGCTTTATAATAGGTCTAATGTTAGATTATTAAGTGTAGTTAATAGTTTACTTTAAAATAGTAAAAGTGTTTCTTTTTTCTATGTTATAGGCTATTAAGTAGGCTACTATTATCTTAAAGAAGCCTTTTTAAGTGTGTTTAAAACCTAAGTTTAGTACTTTTAGGCTAGGCAGTATCTTTTTCTATAGGTAGAAGAACTATTTTAACTTTAATATAAACCCTTTAATAGCAGCACTAATAAAGTAAGCTTTAAAAGTAGAAAATGCTTCTTCTTTGCTTATCTTTAAAGTCTAAAACGCCTATTACACCTCTGTCTCCTTGTTACTAGTAATAAAGTAAGTTTATAAAAGCTTAATTATTTTTTTTATATTTCTAAACTAAAAGTTGTCTAATTTAGCTAGGTATCTAGGCTCTAGGTATTCCTTCGCAATACTAGCAGTGTGTCTCTATACTAACGCCATGCGTGCGCGCTTACTCTAATAGTAATCTAAATTAATATTAAGTCTATCTATAATAAAGGCTTACTATTATTTAAATGTAGGTTTTTTACTGTCTATAAGGTTCTTAATCTTAAGCATGTGTTTAGTAAAGTAGCTTTAAAAAAGCTTAAAGGTGCTTAAAAAGTCTTTTACTATTAGTGTAGTAGAGGTAATTTAAGGCATTATTAAGGGTAATTTAGTAGTTAGTAGGAGTTAATTAGGACTAACAGTTTTTAATCTAGTTAGCTGTTTAATTTATGCTTTTAATTAAGCAACTTAGTTCTTAAGGGCTATACTGCTAGGGTTTACCTCTAAATCTAGTAAGTTTTTAGCTTTAGGTCCTATAAAAGGGGGTTTAGCTGTTAAGGTTAGTAGTTGTTTAGCTCTAGTAGTAGGCATCTTGCCTTAGCTACAGCTAGAGCGTGTTGCAAGCTTTGTACTAAGGTCTAAAAGTAGTTAAGAGTTAGGCATTAGTAGTTGTCTTTAATCCTAATAAGTTATTAGTAGTCTCTAGGTTTCTACCTTAGCGCACTTTTTACAACTTTTCTAAAGGCAATCCTAATTATAAGGGATAGAAAGTTCTAAACTTAAAAGCTTTAGTTAGTAAAAGGTCTCTAGAATCTAGTCTATAGACTAAATAGTTTAATATAATAGTGTGTAAGTATTATAACCTAAACTAAATTAAACATGTCTTAGAGCTTAGATGTAGTTAAATAAATAATTAGTGTAATATTATAATAAGGCTATTACTAGTAAAAGTAAGTTTTCTAATATAATGTAACAGCGCAGGCAAGACAATAGGTCTAAATGCAGTGGGAATCCACTTAGAGGCATATAGGAGTGCGTGGGGACTCTAAACCTAGGAATGCTATTAACACCTATAGGCCTTGTACAAAAGGATATTAGAAAACTACTAAGCTAGCTACAGGGGCGAGGTGCGACTAAATACATGAGGGAATAGGGGTAACTGCGGGGGACTGGGTCGAGTCATGGTCGGGGCCGATACGGGGACCCTTCGGATAGGATCCGAGCGACCCGAGATGGAACGATTCGTAGAATCGTTACATCTTGCTTATTAGATGATACATTTAGCCGTGCATTAGTCTAATAGTTCTGTCTATTCCTTGTCTGTTAAGTTACGTGACTTGTTAGGCAGGAAAACAGGGGGACTTGTCAGATTGAAGCACTGTTTCTGGGCTTCCTGAGATGAATGATGGGTTTTGATATGATGTATGGGATCATGATTGATTGTATTGATTTATCGATCCTTTTTCTGCTCTACTCGTGTTGCTCGGCTTTTGTTTTTTCCGATCCGAGTCCCTCGCGCACTAGCCCTATGCGCGACCAGCTTGCAACATGCTGCAATTTGCTGCAACATGCTGCAAAATGCTGCAAAATGCTGCAATTTGCTGCAATTTGCTGCAACATGCTGCACAATGCTGCAAAATGCTGCAAAATGCTGCAACATGCTGCAAAATGCTGCAACATGCAGCAATTTGCAGCAACATACTGTTCGAGCTTATTGCTCGTACTATGTAGCAGCTTTCGTCAAACGTTCCTCCTGTCTTGACAGTAGGTGCGCATATCTGACAAGACTCTATCCTTATTCGTTCAAACAGTGGGGCACAGGAGGTTAGTTGTTTATAGTCTAATCGTGGGTCGTAACAAATACTTACCTTACAGTTAAGTTGTCTAACCTTATATAGTTATAGATTATACTTGTACTGTTTAGTACTTAGGCTAGAGTGTAGAGAGACAACTTATAAGGCGTCTATAGCAAGAATAGAAGGGTTGGCTAGAACGTCTAAGTGTACAGTCTGTTGTACCTGTGTAAGAGGAGGGATAGAAGGTTTAGCCTATTATAGTTTACCTTAGTGCTAGTATAGAGGGCAAGGGAAACGCTTTAACATAAAAGAGTATAAGAGTATATTATATAGCGTCTTTAAAAGCTAACTATACTACTCTGTCTATTCTTTATATAAAGATAAAAGTAAAGATTAATTATAGCCTCTAAACTATAGTTAGGATTAAAACTATATACATAGGTTTTAACTGCTTTGCCTGCACCGCCTGCACTGCCTGCACTAACAGGTGCTGTAGGCACTGCTTAAAGTGCAATCGTTGCAGGCACGTTGCGAAGTCTGTTATCTCCGTTCCGTCCGGCGATACCTGTGGTCACGTGACCTTCTTCTGTTAGAGGAGGATGCTCCACTACTAGTCATCGATCAGTCCACTTGCAGTTCGACACTCGCTTACAGTCTATTTAGGGATTGTAACAATTAGTTATCTTACTCTCTTGACTTTACTTCTTCTTTCTACTACTCTTCTTTCTTACCTTACTCCCTGCTAGATAGTATAGAGGACTGTATACTCTCTTTGCACTATTGTAAGTTAGAGAAGTATTACGTGACTCTTTTACTCCCCACTCTTCCCATCTTATACCTCTTCTAACCCCAACAACCTTCTGTTACTGTGGAAAGTTAAGGTAAGATATTATAACAAGTTAATGCATTTAAGAAGGTCTTAAGAGGGCAGTAATCATTGCACACAATGTGATGACAAGCACTGTCTCTACTACCGTGTGGAGCTGGGGAAGCAAGGTAGAGTAGGTCGGCTCTATTTCAGCTAAACTAGGATGGGGAGTGAAGGAGGCGAAGGGTTTTCGCGAGAGAACAGCTTGCGTGGCGCCAAGGCGCTAGCACGTTCGCTTAGCCCTTAGCGAGATCATGTGACCAGCAGCGGAGCTTGACAAGCAGCACCGTCACACACAAGCTAGGATTAGGGCAACAGGGAATTTGTGAAGCTTTTAGGGGCACAGAGATAAGAGAAACTAGTGAACTGCATTAATTGCTAGAGGAATGCTTGTAGGAGTCTATATATATGTGTAACAGCGCAGGTAAGACAACAGGTCCGAATGCGGTGTGAATCCACTCAGAGGCATGTGGGAGTGCGTGGGGACTTAGAAACCTGGGAATTCTATTAACACCTATAGGCCTTGTACAAGAGGATATTAGAAAACTACTAAGCTAGCTAAGGAGAGAGGTGCAGCTAAATACTTGGGGGAATAGGGGTACAGCAGGGGGCAAGGCAGGGTCGGGGCAGATACAAGGAACCTTCGGATATAGGTTCGCCAGGTAACTTTAAATGGAACGATTCAAGCGAATCGTTTCAATATGCGAAATAAGTGGGTAAGTCTTGGCAACATAGACTATTGTGAGATGCATACGACCATGGTGACGACGCATCTGACTATTGTGTGACTGCTGCAAACAAAGTTACTAGGCTTTAAGCAGCTAATAAGGCTGCTACGCGACGTAAATTGCATAAAAGAAAGCAGATTAAGGCAGAAGGGGCCTTAACGGTTTAGGAAGGCCTGCGCTTAACAACTCTAAAGGAGTTTAGGGCGCGCAGTGACGGGAAGTAGGCGAAGAAGCAAGTGCGAGCTAAAGCGGGTGAGCCATCCTAAAGGCGCTGCGGACAGTGCAATTAGACTGGGCATAACGCGCGAATGTTTAAGGAAGAAGTAGAAGTAGTCTCTAAATGATATTCTAGGCCGTACTGTACTATACAGTGCCAGAGCAGGTTGTTATGGGCCATAATAGAGTGCGTTGTGGTGTGGTCTTGGCAAAAGTGAGCGACTTGGGTGTCTGAGCAACTCGCTCGTGGTGTACGTTATTACTCTTTTAATAAAAGTGCTGCTAATATTTAATTGGCTAGATTTTTGCTTATTGAAAACCACGCTGCGTGGCAGAGGGAATGAGGCTGTTCCCGCTAAGACCTGGAATCCCTCCTCTCCGGCCCTCTTCACTCTTTTCATGTTCTCCCACCGAGTGCAACATCTTCCGACAGATATTTAACCCCGATTAGTGATGATGTCTGGGGGAATCGATATATGAGCGAGACGAACAACCATGGCTGAGCCATGTTCGCTGGACTACTCCAAGCTGCAGGATCTGTACGACGCATATGAAATCCATAACGGACGCAACTTCACTAAGATAAGCGGCCATCACTTAGATGTATTCCTGTTGCGATTCCTCTCACCACATCTACGGTACAAGAATGGTCAACTCCTCGCCCCAAAAGCAACGTACAGGACGCAATACCTACGCACGCTTGACCCTGAGCACCTTGGCTTCCTCCTCGGCGATACTTTGCATGTGCTCTTTCACAAGTTTGGTGCCGAACATTTGAGCACATCCTCTACGGTCCAGTCCTTCGCAAAAACGGCTGAGACCTACAAACTTCTCGTGGATCTTCCGGGAAAAGACTTCTTCTCTCTACTCGTCGAGATCGCCTACGAATATCACGACAGATATAGAGATCAAAAGACATATCGCAAATATCTACCGATAGTTTGCACAGATTCATTCCTAGACGCAGCAACTAACTGCCTCACATACGATCTCGAGTCGCTGCTTCCATACAATGAGGCATTTGTTCTCAAAGGGCTTTTCCGCAGAGCTTTTGGTACACGCCAGTCCTCCAATTACTCCACCATGAAACCAGATGCCCGAATCGACCGCCTTTTTCCAGACACTTCCCCAATCATGCAGCGACTTACCACGCTCCTTACGAAGCATGCAGCACGGGAGAAATCACACCCTATGCTCGAATCAATATTAGAAGACGAAGCTAGAAAAATATTCGATGGGGGTTATCTTGACAGTAAATCCATTCCATACAAGACTAAGAGAATGAGCGATACCTCCGACCTCTCTAGCGAGCGCTCCTTTATCACGGCACCATCGGGGGGATTCTCGAGCCAACGTTCATTTATTACAACATTCTCGCATGGACTCTCAAGCCGGCACTCCTTCATTACCACGTTATCGCAATTCTCCGCCCGTACCCCGCGATCCAATGCAAGGGACAGTATTGATACGTTTCTCTCACTTGGAACCAATACAACAACAGATCGAAATCCTGTCATGAGAGGAGCATACCACAAAATGTTACAAGACCGCAATATTATTCCGGAACGATTGGTGGAGATAGATTGGTCTGGACGAGGACAACACGCAGAGTATCAGTCTGGGGAAGAAGACAAAATCCCCCTAGTGGTTGGGAAGGTTCTAGGGTTGACTGCGAAAGCGATTGTCGAGAGCGTGCAATGTATGCGTGTGCGGCTAGTGAGGAAGACTGTAGGGTGGCCAAAGCGGAATCAGCTTGAGCGCGAGCAAGCCGTCCAGGAAGTCCAACATCTATACCGCGTGCAGCATGCCCACATCGTCCGCCTAGTTGGTACCTACATCTTCGAGGATAACCTCGCCATCCTCACGTACCCATGCGCAGATTGGAACCTCGAAACATTCATGCAAATGACTTCTACTGGAGACGATTTTTACAGAGAAAGGCATGACGCCCTTGTCCAGTTTTTCGCATGCCTTGCTCAAGCGCTAGATTTCATGCATTCATTCCCGCTCAAACACATGGACATCAAGCCTCAGAACCTCCTAGTGCGAAATATTCAACATTCTTCAGTAAATGGCTCGGATATGTACAAAATCTACTACACAGACTTTGGGATTTCTCGATCATACCCAACCGCTGCAGAGAGTGAGACGGAAAGCTGGACATCCTTTACAAGAACTTATGCGGCTCGAGAGGTAATACTTCAAGAAAGGCGTGGGCTTCCAGCAGACATGTTCTCCCTTGGTTGCGTGTACGCTGAGATGCTTGCGACTATTCTCGACGAATTAGCGTACTCGGAATCTGCGCAAGTACATTGGAAAGAACTTCAATCCGCTAGAGGAAGGACTGAAACCGGATTTCGAGCGTACTATTCCGTTGTTGACAACGTTCGAGCTTGGTTACAAGCCCAAGTTTTCCTACAGCTAGAGCTTGCGGTAGTACGAGACTGGACAATACAAATGCTCGATAATGATCCAGGGAAACGGCCCACAGCACGCCAAATTGCAGAGGATCCCTGCTTACCTATCGCATGCTTGAGCTGTGCGCTGAAAAGTGGACCCGAGGATTTCGAAGCTGTAGAACCGCCCGCACAATTTAGTGAGACAAGACAAGTAAAAGGCGAAGTGCCGAGTGCTGGATAAGACCTGTTCAGTACGGATTGAGGACCCCATGTGCAAGGATGCTTTCATTCGCCTAGAGAAGCCCATACATGACCAGGTTGCTGGCTAGGGAGATAGCTCTGCAGAGAATACTAGATACGTAGAGCTAGGTAAATAGCAGGTAAGTAGCCGCAAATACTATAGTATTTTCCGTAGCATAGCTAGTCTTCTGAGACCTATGACTAGGTCTAATTTGTTTCTAAAATCAGATCCCCGTCGTGTCTCCGAGTAGCTTCAACACAACACCTCCACCTCTACCTGCCAATCCCCCCTTCCACGTTACCCACTATCTTCCATCCATAATACATTATGACCAATGCACTCTCCGCCGCCACCGCTGCCTATCGATGCAAGCAACCCAAGCCTCCTGCAATTCCCTCCTCCAGCACACTTTTCCATAGAGCTCTCCACAATGTGTAATGGTAGTGCGCCGATTCTGTCCAGCCGTGCTACCGTCATACCATGCATCAGCCTAGGTGATCGCGCAGCGGCGTCTAATACTAGCCTTAACTTCATGCGGACCACCGCCAACTCCTTCATCCGACTCGCATTGAACCCTGCCGCACCCCACCCATCCTCCTCCGTCTCATACACCCTCTCCCGGAATACATTCACTGGCCCTCGACCAACCTTCTGCCCTCTGACTACCGCCCTCGGCCGGGCTCACGCCCTTTTCGTGGCTATGGAGCGAGCTTATGTTCGCAAGACCTACCGTTAGTTCAATTGGCATGCAGTAGAACAAGACAGGCGTTACAGAAATCGCAATCAGGTTTAGGCCGCAAGCAGAAGGGAGCCGACCTGTGCAAGAAGCATAACCTCGAGATCGGCCAGTGGGGTAGATGCACTGTCCGCATCAGAAGGTAAGCATTGCTGGACATATGGGTCGCGCGGATCGGACCTTTAGGGCGCCGGTGATGATGCAAAACTTGAAGCGAGCTACCTCTCTTTCAACTCAGAGGCTTCATGCCGAACTGAGTATCAAAATCCATCCGAGCTGGCGGTGGGGCTCGAGTTGGTCTCATCTCCACTTCCGCATCGCTTTCTCAACCCACACATCCTTCTCAGCCTGTCGCACGCCAACAGAGAGTCAAGCCAACCAATTAAGATAGCCCAATCTCTCTGGAGTATGTCTCCTTCTCCACTCAATTCAGCCAGTCTCCCTCCACTCCAGCTTCGATGTGCCACATACCATCTCCAAATCTACGAGCCCTTATCCTCAGCTTCAATCTTGATCATGGCCTCGAGAAAACACTCCTCCGAAGCCCTCTCCTGCTCACCCGTATACTATTTACCACCAATTATCCTCCTGGTCTCTCGGAATAAACACATGTATGCTAAAGTCCACAGTTCATCCAGAGCCGTGCCCGTACGTAACAAACAATCTTCGAATTACTCAGAAGATAAGCAAATTTTGTTTTTCCATTATGGCGTTACCTTTCAAGTCACGCGGTGTGACCCAGGCGCTTTCTAAGATCCCTGTGTGAATTCAAGGCCATCCAGGAATTAGTGAAATTTGGGCGATGTGTGGATAGTGAGGAGCAGGCTAACTGTTTCGTGTCTCGAACCCAACGTGCTTCCTTCTCCTCCTGCCTCTTCGTTTATTTTTCACGATAGGAAAAGACCCTATCCATTGAAAACCTCTTTGGTCTGGCTTATAACTAAACTAACCATATCCCACGACCCCCGAGCTCGCACGGCCTCCAAGGGAACGGCACCACCTACAAACCGTAAACCGCAAAACTCCCTCTATACACCCTATCACCGTACAAGGCGAGCTTCGGTTTTGGGGGGCCGAGCTGTGTAATGACCGTGCAAATTGTTATCGGGTTACCGAGTATGACATGGAGGGGATGTGATTCACTGCGATGTAACTAGCACTGCGACCGAGTACATGTTGAATAAATTTCAACCTAAATCTAGCTCAGCTACGCTTTGTCATGTTTGCGAGTATTTTCCATCATCTTCACTCATATTCGCTTTAGTATATTTGCGTTATTAAGGTTTCGTATTCTGATATCGGATGTGGTAATAGCAAAGCAACACCCCACATCAAGACTCAAAATATTCTTGAATTCCGCATCCCAAATATTCTCTATCCATTGTTTGGTAGAAGGCCCGCTCATTCGGTCTTAATGTACAGTTCCTCAAAGCGAGCGCGCACATGAGAAACCAAGCTAACTATTACCTCTCCTAGGTATTTAAACAGCCTCGCACTAGCTCCTGGGTCCTCTCTAGTACTCACACCGTTCTTACCTTTTATCCACTACATAACCTTTCTCCCATATACATTCTATACAATTTCTTGTATTTGAAAGTTAGAAGGGCCCAATTTACCCCTTTACATCTTCAAGGCTACATGGAAATCCATTTCGTAAATTCGCACACAAGACTCCTATGCAGCTGCGCTCGGATCATACACACAGCTAATAATCCATAGACGTATAATTCGTAATAGGAACGCACGATCTAATTGAAGAGAATATTGAAGAGGGTAGTCTGCATCAACTGAAGATGCGAACGACGTCGTGATGAATAGTAGTCAATGAAAATATCAGTTAGCACCGAGATCATGTAACGTCCGTCCCTGCGCCACAAGAAACCCTGTGCTGCGAGAACTCATCCAACTATGCTCTCTATTGTGATAAGGTTAATAGTAATTAAGAAGTGCAGAAAACCTTAGAATAGAGACCTTGCTTCTGAAGCTTTGTTCATTCTCTATGTTGTCTTTAGGAATATCTTGCTTGGCTGGCAATACTACATTTTACTGACAACACGCATGATGGCGCTAGTTCAGGCAGCCTTAGACCTACTAGAGTTCGTGCATTCTAGTTAAGAACTTGCAGAACTGTAGATTAACAGATTAATATTCTATTCCAAGTATAGTGTTTATATAGTTGCGCTCCTGTTGTGTCAGTAGTGGCCTGTAGCCGCATCAAGTTGTCTCTCGCTTGTCAACCCCCACTTCCTGCCTGTACAAAAAAGTCAGGAGTGGACTAGCTGTATTGCGAGTGTGCTGATGTCAGAATACTATTCCACAAATCTAACCCGGCTTCGGGCGCTAGGCTAAAGCTTATTTTTAAGCATAACTCGAGCTCAAAGACGCGCATAACTCGCGCTGGTCAAGGACAGATAGAGAATGTAAGATTATATTTGTATGCTATTAAGCTCTCTAGTGCTTTTAAATAGCATTTATGCCACTTGTTCAGTTTTGAATGTAGAGGTGAATTAAGCAGAGCATTGATTGGGAGGGCCCAGGTCTTGCGATCAAGCGTCTACTCGCGTGCATTCATAAGCAGTGGGTATAGAGGGGCCCCCCATTGCATGATCGCTCTTCGTTCTCGTTGCGAGCCCCTGTAGGCGTAGGGGTGAAGATAATGGTAGCTGTCAAACAAGACCCAGTTGAGAAACTAACTAAAGACGGCAAAAGACAGCACAAAACGACCCCTGCTCTACGGTCAGCTCCCTCCCTCCTCTCCCTATTTAGATTACACGTACAGAGGCTTTATGTGAAGCGTACGTGAGTCGAATCCATCCAGATTTAGAGGGAGGAGGGAGCGCAAATCAAGCTCCCAGCCGCGGATACCCAGAGCGTGAAAAGGAGATGGCAGAGGATCGAAAGGAGAGCGAAAGCTACTCCTTTGTAGGCTGAGAGGTGATTGTTCCTCGTTCACAGACGCATAGAACAAATTATATATTTTTCTTATTTTAGAGAGGTTTTCGAGATTTTGATACGAGTCTTTGCCATCCCATTTGTGAGCTTTGATGCATTGCCTAGGTGTATATGTACGCCGCTATCTGGTATCTAAGTACAAAGAGCGGACCGACCCTGTTCTTCCGTTGCATGCATTGTGGCTTTGGCATAATGTTGGCGACACGTGCGGGAAGTCGGATGATCTGTCCCAAGGACAGTTTGGTACCCCGCGCATGCTCTTTCGTACAGAGCAAGGGATTCGCTGTAGCAATGCTGATTTGCGAGGAGGTGGGCAAGGCAATATACACTCGTTAGCGTGTCCGGATGTTCAGGCCCTAGTACCTTCTCCCTCCGCGCCAGCGTCTGCCTGTTCATCGATTCCGCCTCTTCGTACTTGCCTTGGC